GCTTCTGCTGTAAGAGACTAAGCATTCTAAGTGGGCATCTGTTGAGCTCATCTGTTTCATCAACTGGAAACAAAAAAAAAAAAAAAAGAATTAATCTCCTTCAGATGGGGCACAGTCTGTTTGCCCTTACACATTCTGTAATATCTGCAACTCCTGTCACTGATTACCCTAACAACTGGCCAAATTTTAAGTTATTCTGCTGCTTGAAGTCATCAATTTCTCCCAATTTCCAACCCATGGTCTGTGTCTATGTCTACTAGCCCAGTGACAATTGAACAAATATGCTGTGTTTTATGAGGAGGCTCCATCTCACTTGCCACAAAGTTGCAGTATTCGCTTCTGTCCCAGGACTGAAGCTACTGTGTATGTTTGTAGTCAGCAGAAAATGAATGCACAAAAAGTGTCGATGCATATCTATCTGCTATGTGGAACCGTGGACGTGTAACGATAACTAAAATTTGCTTCCTTATGGGGCATTACTTCGAAATAGCATCAGATGGTTTCACAGTCTCGTGTGAAGCACATCCTTCTAAAGAACTTTCTAGAAGTTATTCAGCACATGTTTCGACCTATGAGGTCATCATCAGGTGTTATAAAATTATAAATTATAAATGAGGAAACTGCTGTGCTTCCATATTGCAGTTGTTGGTCATCACTAAGCGGTCCCTTCTATGCGCACGTATATATATAGTGGCTGATTGCTCTGCCTGCAGTGTTATGCAGTGCAAGAGGGACACACAGCATAACACAACAGGCAGAACAACCTGCCACTTCATATATACATGCGCATAGAAAGGACCGCTTAGTGATGACCAACAACCACAATATGGAAGCACAGCAGTTTCCTCATTCATAATTTTAAAACACCTGATAATGATCTTATAGGTCAAAACATGTAATGAATAACTTTTAGGAAGTTTTACAGAAGGACATGCTGCATGTGAGACTGTGAAACAATTTGGTACTAAATGAAGTGCAGCAGTGTGCTACAATATACTAAGTAAAGCAAAGGTATCCCTGTAACAGGCCGTAGAGGCCCATGGGGCTGTGAGATGTTGAGGTTCCCACATTTTCTAGACAATCAGCTCATCGATGGCAGTGAGGTTGTCAGCCTTACGCAATGGCCGCACTTTAACTCCCATGAAAATTCCTGGTACTCATTTCTGTTAAGAGGCTGAGTCGACCCCAGGGCCATAGCGCAGCTGGAAGGATTAGGTCATCATCATCATCATCATCACTGGTACGACAGCCCTTTGTGAGCCCCGGCCTTCCTCAGGATTGCTCGCCATTCTTCTCCATTCGATGCTACATTCCTCCAGTTCTTTACAGCAAAAATTCTTATGTCCTGCCACACACATTCTTCCCATCTTAATCTTAGTCTTCCCACTCTCCTATTTCCTTCTAGTTTAGTATTAAGCATTTTCTTAACCATTCTATTCTCGCTGGCAAGTATTATGTGTCCAGCCCATTCAAGCCTTTTCACCTTTATAAATCCAATAATGTCTGGTTCATTAAACAGTTTGTATAGCTCATGGTTATACCTCTTCCTCCATATTCCATTTTCTTCCACTGGTCCAAAGCTATATCTCAAGATCCTCCTTTCAAATATACTTAACAGTCTTTCATCTGATCTTGACAGTGGCCAGGTCTCAGAAGCATAAGCTAGCACTGAACTTATAAGTACTTTATACATCATAGTTTTGGTTTTCCTGGGTATTAATTGGGATTTCAGGTGTTTCCTAAGGCCATGGAGACATTTATTTGCCGCAAGTACACGCTTTTTTATTTCATCACTGTTATCATATCGCAGAGTGTAAACAGCATAGGTAGGGTATGTAGCAAACATAGCGTAGCACTCTGTGTGGCCAAACCTTAACACAGACATCAACAGAATAGAAGTGCTTGCATTACAAACCTTCATTATACAGACTCATTTTCAAGAACACATCCCCATTGCAAATAGAAGCATGAAATACAAAACACTTCTGAGTAAATGAGTATGCTGTATTTTGTTACAAATTAATTCCCAGTTAGGCCTATACATTTTGTCTTTTTCCAAATGTATCAAACGGATGTTCATATTTACCACAGCTGAGGGATTTCTATAATTCCTCTTGTAAAATGACTCCATCAAGTCTTTGGTCAGGAAATTCTTCCAAAAATATGCATCAGCTATGCAGCCCTCAAAGTGCAAGACAGGTCACATGAAAGCACATGCATCTGATATGCAGTTACGGGTTATTTTTGCTGAAATTATTCCCTATATTACAAACCCTTGACACATCAGAGCTGCACACCACTAACATGATAGAGTTCAAATAAATGAGTGACTGTGAAACCCATATTTAAGGTTTCCTTTGGCAGGAGGGCATTTGAACAGTAAAGTGACTAAAATCTTAAACTGAGGGAATTTAGCACTGAGAGGACTGGCTTGGGGTCACTGAAACTGAACATTAAATTTGGGTTCCACTGCATTGTGCAAACTGAAGCAGCCTTACTGACTGCCAATTTCCCCACAACACACCCCATAATTAGGTTCATGCTTGACACACACCTTTGCTGCAGAAACTCCTTGTAGTTGGGGCACAGTAACAGGGGGAGAATTTGCTGCATATCCTCCCCAAGGTCCAAGCCAATGTCCTCCTTGTGGGGGGTGCCTCCCTAGGTCCTCCTTGTTCAGCCTGAACATGATGACATCGTTGGAATGATGACTTCTTCACTGGATGCCACCAAATGCCTGTCAACAAAAACAAACATCTTTCAGACAATGTCAAACTCTGTTACTTGCATTGACAGTAACAGCTCATGACAGCATGTAAATATCCTTCCAGAACCTTAATGTAAGAATATGAGGCATGGAACTACTGTATTCAAAGGACAATATTTCAGTACCTCAGAACAAACATTTTGCCATAAATTTTCAATATCATTATTTTTTAATGAACAAATTCTGCAAATTCCTACTCATAAACAGCACTCGTGCTAGGTTCATGGCAAACTGCTGTATGAACATTCTACCAGAAGTTCATCAGCAATTAATATGCAAACGAGTCTGCCGATCCAACTTACAAACAGCATACCCCACTGTATTGTGATCGTGTGGGTTGGGGTATCATGTAGTCCTACAGGAGAATACCCAGCATTTCAGAGTAACATAATTGACTGCAGCTTCCAGGCTGATACCCACCCGTCAAGCTACAGTGTCCTGACCAAGATCAAAGTATAAATCTTCAATGCTATGGAATCCTCAAAACTCACTGCTTCAGGGACAACACACACCTTTGCTTTACAGACTCCTCGCTGCTGGCACCTGGTGACATGTCTTCCCTGCAGATGGAATGCAGGAGGAAGGGGGCCCCTCCTGGATCGTCCCTGTTGAGACCAGACCCAATCACAACCTCTGACAGCTGAGACAGCAGTTACTCCACTGATGCCCCACCAGCCCTACCAAGAATCACAAATTATAATTCTCGTACAATCTGCATCATACTGATGCCTCTCCCACTGTTCGTTTCCAAAATCCTACTTGATAATGTTCCTCCATGAGACTCACCTTCACTACAAGACCGCTTCGTGACTGGTGTGCAAATGGCCATGTGCGTGGAAGGGATCTTGGGTGCTCCTTTCTTGGTAAGAAGTCCAGCTTCTCACAGGTGACATGCAGGGGGCACGTGAGGAATTCCTGCATGCTCCTAGCTGGCTTCACGCCAAACAGCGTCCTTCACCATGGAGAATGGTTTCTCTGTTTTTTTTTTT